GACGTCACGGTGAGCGCAGTAGTTGATCCTCCCCCGCTAGCGCCATTGAAGGTGAATTGAAGTTTGTATCCACTCCCCACCACATACTGCACCTGGACATCAGTGAAAGTTGCTTTGCCGTTGACTAAGTTCACGACTGTTGTCCCTGACAGAGTCGGCAGGTAAGCGTTCTGAGAGCAGCTTCCAGCGAGCGTTGCGCAATATGCTTGAGCGACTGATGTGCATGTCGGGTATAGAGCCGCAGTGGACTGACTGTCAGTGCACTGCACGAGTCGAACTTGCACACAGTTCAAGCAGTTGGCGTGTGCCAGGGTCTGCCCTGCAGCATCAGTGAAGTCAACCCACATGGGAGAGGGCAACCCGTCCACGTTCATCGTGTTGTTTCCCGACGATCCGTCCAGCTTGACGACTGTGGGGAATGTGTGGGCATCGAAGTAGACGCCGGCCCCGTAGCCCAACGCCATGACTGCTGGATCAAGCCGAAAAGCTTGTCCAGAAGGCCCTTGCAACAGAGAGGTTGGACGAGACGATATTTGAGGCACATTCGCTAAGATTTGGAAGTAGAGCCCAGTCTGATTAGTAATATTGAGCGAAAACTGAAAGTTGTGGGTGGAATTTTGAATGTTGACTTGATCAGAGTCGGATTCGGCTTGCAGGGAGATGTCATAAACACGTAGGTCTGATGCACTGACGGTCGTGTAACTCGAGGTGTAAGAGGGATATGCTGATGAGTCTGAATTCGCTCCAGTCAACAAGCTCAAATGAAGATAAAACCCGTCTGTAGAGTCCACAAGCTGGATTTGATTGCTCTGATGATCGTACATATTGATAACGTAATTCCCTAGCACAAAATCCTGATCTCCAACGACATAAGAATTCTGTGAAAGGGTTGTTGCAGCATTTCCGTTGGTGTAAATACTCCAAGGGACACAACTGAAACTAGCGGTGAGACTGCTCTTCAGGAGGCCATACACGTCTTGGAAGTACAGCTGGAACCTGTTGTAATAAGACGCAGCTGCTTTCACATACAGAGAGCTGAATGTGAATTGACCACCAGAGTAAACTCCCTTGTAGTTGTTCAAGTAGCTTGTACCGTAATCAACACCGCCCTTCAAAAGATACGCCAGAACGTTTCCTGTCGCTGAGAATGCAGTGTAAACCCCTCCATCATACAGCCCTCCAGAGCAAGACGCCGTGACTGAGCATGTTCCACCCCCTGTAGCGTAGAATGTCTTCCCATCTGAAGAGCTGTACTTGCCACAAGGATTCCTCGTGCAGTCGCACCCACAGACTTTGGTACATGAGCAAGCGCATGAGGCTCTTGCGCATGAGCAACTGCAGACGTTGGGCTTGCAGCCACATCCACAGGACTGATTGATAGGGGAGGAGGTCGAGGATACACCAGAGCTGTCACATGAGCAGTTGTTGATGGAGCACGTTAAAGTTGTCTTGGGAGTGCAAGTACAGCCGCAAGAAAGGTTGTAGGGCGAATAGGTTACAGGAGTGGCGCCATAGTAGTTGGAATCACACCTGCAAACAAACAGAGTCAACGCAACGTTGGAGGTTCGAGGACTCTCAATCAAAGTCATCTCACGAGCAATTCGACTTGGAGCATGATGCTGTGACAGGGGTGCAAGAGCAACCGCAAGGAGATCCGTCAGATGTGTTGGTGATCACTTCTCCGTTGGCGCCGCATTTACAATTCTTTGCGCTGCATTGTGCTTGCACAGGTGTGCAGGAGCAACCGGATACATTGGAAGCATTGCCGTAGGTGTCACAGGTGCAGTCAGCAGGGGTAGCACTAGAGGCATTCGTAGCATTTGTTGAAGAGTTGAATGGTGCAGAGTTCTCCACCAAAGAAGAATTTGAGACATTAAAAGTTGTCGAAGAGTTATCAACAGGAGGCACGTATACTGCTCGATAATAATCGATGTATGTCAGGTTGGCATCAAAAGAGGAGATGTAAGTTATTGTATAATTGTAAGGCTCGAAACCAATTTCCCAGTCAGTGACATAGGAGAGATTTTCAAAGGTAGTGTTGTAGGTTGTTGGGGGAACTATGGTATTCCCCAGCCCATCACACTGACAAGCTGAACAATTTCCTGAAGGCTGCCAAGGACCAAGAGGGGTAATGACATGGCCGTCGTAAGGATCGCACTGACATTGTCCGGAGCCCGTGCTGTTGTCCAGACTGCAATTACCTGTGGAATTCCACAGACCTTGGGCTGGGGATCCATCCAAGAAGGGGGTCCCTGAGGTGTTACAAGAGCAGCCCGTACATGTTGAGAAGTATGTCGAGTTATAAGCTCCCAATCCAGTGATCTGAGCCGAGACAGTCCCATAGCAACCCACGCACTTCGATGTCGTTCCCGCGGTGCCAACAGAACTTCCCAGGTTTCCATCGCAACCAGCGTTGGTTACTTTGGCACAATACACCTGTACAGCTACTTGCCCAGATGCCAACGCGTCACCTGCCAACTGAGGGTCTGTCAAGCATACCATACAGGCATATTTGCATGTGGATACGACAAACCTCGTGAGAAAGAAAGCTGAAAGTTCCCAGAACAATGCTTCCATTTCCAATCACACCATCGCCATCAGATGAAGTGATTTGATAGTTCCCCGCAATCAGTCCATTCATCTATCAGAATCTCAGGTTCACGAGCATTTAAGTTTTGTGTTCAAGTCATACCGAATCCTGTGTAGGACAAGCTAGAATGGACCCCAGCTGCAAGAGCCAGAGTCCCACGCATGGGACGCACGATCTGTGCCACATTCGAGTTTAACCTGACAAGCAGTGACCTGTTGAGTTATGTCATGGCATGGAGGATCTTGTCTAGCTATATGCATCGTCATTGCGTCAAAGCCATAGCAAACGTCAAATCAAAATCCAGTACGACTACACAGACTCCCCAGGTTCAACAGGTACAGAGCACAACATCTCTAAGTGCGAGCACAAGATGGAAGAAACAAAGTGAGAGCAATCAAGCAGGCAGTGAGGTGCTGGAAGGAAGAGGAGAGCAAGGCTGTCAGCATGCATGCGAACATACAAGCACCTCAATGTCTGTTTGCAATGCCAACGCTCATCGCCATCTTGCGATCCTATACTCGATCAACCCCATCAACTGCCTCATGACACAACTTTAGTCAAATCTTGTTCTCGTAGAATGTTGAAGAAAAAATCAAGTGTACCCCCAATAAGACAAGATCAAAGGGGGGTGTAAGAGACCCTGGGGGTACTCATTTCCCATCCGATCCAATGGTTGCTGGGGGATAACTTATGATAAGTGGACACGCCTACCCTACGATCTTACCGTAGAATACCACCCCTCCCTACTATATTGCTCCCGATGGCCCACCCACCCTTAGACTCACCTTCCTTTCACCCCTGGTAGCACCGCAGCCGCGGCAGTCATCACGTCTAGTAACTACCGACAAGGAAACGGCAGCGCTGGAGGTCTCTCGGCCTCGCAAGACATCTCAGGTATCGATCCGACTTGCAAACGCATCCGGTCCAGGATCTTTCCGAAATCGGAAGCCTGTTCGTCAGCTTAACACAGCTTACTAGTTCAGGCCTCCCTGTCCTTCCGCGGCTGCCATCATCGCGTAACAATATGCCATGATGCGTGTCACGACATCCGATCCGCGGCTGGCCCGCCATGGCGCGGGGGGGATGGTCCTGCGCGCCGCGCTGTTGAGTGCCGGAAGGTATCAGTTAAGTTTGGGGGACAGCAGTTGGCACTGAGGATTAGGTTTGGTGGCTCGCTGTACGTTCTTTTCTCTTCTTGCCGTCGTAATGATTTTTATCTTAACTTACAATGGCCGGCCGGGCCCGCCGCCGCCGGGCCCGCCGGGCCGGGCCCGGGGGCGCCCGGCCGGGCCCGGGCCGCGCAGGACCGAGTCAACGGTTCGGCCGGGCGGCGGCCCGTGCGGCAACCTGACTGAGGAGCCTCCGAGCCTCCGAGCCAAAGACGTAGCAGATCTGAGCACAACTTCGGACGTACCGTACGGTAGCAGGGCGGGGGAGTTCGGTTTATTGAAGCAGAGAGGCTCGCGCATCATGCCGCCAGAGGCTCAGGGCCTGCCGCATCAGCTGACCTCCGACCGTATCCCACTGGCTCTCAAAGTAGTGACGGTGGCATCGTGGCACTATTAGCCGCCTTGATCCTGGTCGACTGAGTCGAGTCCCGCAGCGCAACTTCGGCGGCCCGCCGCTTGAAGGCTACCGTACCGGCTCACCGAGTCCGAGCCTCGGGCCCCGGCCCCGGCCCGGCCCAGTGAGGCCACATCACTGAGTCATGTCATTCCTGGGAGAACTCGCCCTGGCATCCATTTCAAACTTTTCGTTTGGGGGTCTACTAGACTGATTTGAGGCCGCTGATGGCCATCACAAAGCGATATTGCCGGGTGTAGGAGGCTTTGCAGTAAATCTTCCAGAAGTGTCAAGGATTTTGGTTGCTGAGCAACTGCCCTCCGTCGATAGGTAACGGAAGTCTGTATCCATTTCGTGAGCTCCCAGCCTCATGCAGCGTATGAAGCCCTTCCGACCGGCCTTGAGGATCCGAAATCTGTGTCAGCAACCTGATATAGAAGACTTGCGAGCTGCAATGCTGGACTCCAGTATCACCCATGAGTCTGACATCTTTGATAGAATGGGGGTAGCACTTGTTTCTTGAGGCTTGAAGCACTGGACCTCACGGTCAACCAGTAGATAACTTCGAAACTCCATCTATCAGTTCGGAAACCTCGTTGTCATCCTGGTCGAAGAACAAGACTCAACGTCACTCAAGAAAACGTGTAAAACAAGCATGTCATGAGCAACCTGCTTTTCGGTGGAGTCATCCTCATTAGAGTCCCAAGAGTCAGTGCTCCGTCTGGAGGATTGGTGTAGCATCAAACATCAATCATCGAATGAAAATATGTGGACCTTTGAAACCAGTTTTCATCCACTTCATCATCATCTTTGAATTGATTTGAATCCTTGGCCTCCATAAATATCTTCAAGACCAGAACTTAGTCCCGGTGTCAGAAGGAGTACCGATTCCAACCTGCTTCCCAGTCTTTTTGGCGATTCTGTTCGCTGCCTTCTTCTCGGCCTTTGTGTAGTTCTTCAAGATGTTCTTCTGTACCCACTCGTCGAACCTTGCGAATTACGATTACATACATGGTGTAAGTGATTTACAAACAAGAAAAATTGACATTCGTATCCAAAGCATGATTACCATTGCTTGTCAATCGGAATCTTTTCACTCTCATTTACTTTTGCTCGGAGCTCCTCAATTTCTTGGTCTACAGTGATCTCTCCCAAGGGTTTGTCAATATCAGATCGTGTCAATGCCTGTGGAATATCATATCACAGCCAGAAAATCAAAAGTGGCGAAGAAATAACCTGCACTGAGCTTTGGTACTCATAGTCTTCCAAAAGTTCCTTCCCAGTCATTCCGTTCTCTATCTGTTGATCACTTTCTTTCGTGGTATCCTTGGAGCCCTCAGTGCGTGTGTTGAACAACATGGCCATCTCAGCCTCTTGCCTCTTCGCCTCCTCCTTCTTTGCCCGCTTCATTTCTGCTTTTTTCGCATCAATAACCATGTTCTTGGCCTGAATTTCGACGGACTTGACGAATTTTTGAACAGTTTTACTCTTCTTCTTGTTTTTCAGCCCAAACGTCTTATCCTCCACAATCTTTTTAATGGCTTTCTGTTTTCCACCACTCGCTGATGCCTTTGGACCATATCCTTTAAGCATGAGGGTCAAGTGGATAGAAGTTGTACTCGCATGCCTCGTTTCCTTTGTCCCATATATAGGTTTGTGGAACCCTGCACAATATCGATGATCACATTGTGATTGCATTCCATTATTTGTCTCCATCGAGCACCCAACAACAAGCGCAAGAAGCAATGACAGCACATGAGGAGGTTTCTCGACCATCGTGTCGGAGGTCCTTGGACGCTGTCCTTGGACGCTCAATCCCCTCACCTCCGAATATCTCGACGAGAGAACAACGGAAACTTACGTCAGCTCCCGTTGGATGAAGTCACTCTACCAGGGAGATCGAGACAGAGCTAGACTTATGTTCGTGTCTCCTTCTCTCCTGCAGCAATCTTCATGCGCCTGCACGCATGGCATGCGCATCTCCGGAATGCGACCTTGCAGTCACGGTGCCGCACTGCGCACCCCCGACCGGCCGCACTGCGGCAGGCCAGTGCTCGGCGGCCGGCCGGGCGGACAGCCTGAGTCCACCAGGCCCTGAGGGCCTGCCCGGCCCGGCCCGGCCCGGCCCGGCCCGGGCCTCATCCAACAGTGCGGCCACGGCGCGCCCCGGCCAGCCCCGGCGGGGTGTGCCGGGAGGCGCGACCCTGTACGACGGTCCGATCACTGGGTCCGGGCCCGCCGGGCCTAGTCCGATCAGTGATCGGACTAGTGACTCCGTAGTACACTGACAGTGACTGGCATCGGCTGGAGGTCCGATCGGTGACCCCCTCGCCGGGGTAAGGTTCGCCTAACGCGAGAGCAGCCGCTGAGCCTCGGATTGGCAACAAAATCCTGGAATATTGCAGACCCTGAAATTTATTTGAAAAATACAACAATTTAGTTTGAATCCGTTTTTAGAGTGTAAATTGCTATTTTTGTCATCGTTTGTGTTCAAATTCCCAGCCATCTCCATCATCGCACACATGGCGGATGCGAACGAAAGTTGAGACACAGCGTGTGCTGATAGTTTGGTTCCTCTTGCTCCGAGCGCATATATGCAAACTTTTCCTCTATTATACATGTTGGTTGTCTCCCGATGACACAGGGAGGGAGCCGGGGGGGGCTGAAGGAAACGAGATTCTGGAACACAACTTTGTGTTGGCTGAGAGTGCTTTCTACTGTCATGGAGGCTAGTGGACCCGTTCTTTAGGAAACTTGCTATTGAAAGTACCAAAGAATGCTCAGGCTGGCAAGAAACGAACTGCGGCAAAGGAGATGGAGGCAAGGAAGGAAGGAGGGGTGGCATCGTTGGAAAAAAGGGCGGATACTAGCGACCTGGGGTGGAAGGTGAGAAGGAATCCATATTGTAAAGAGTTTGGTTTCAAAGATTCGAAAGCCTCTTATTAGTTTAAAGAGGTTTTACCCATGTATACCTGTCAAATCTTCCTCTGCATGTTGAGAGAGCTCGCCTTCCAGTGGCATTATGGGCGATTCTATAGGTCATTTTGATAAATGTTCATGCCCTTTGAGACGCTTTAACATGCACGAAGACTGCCATCCGTCGTCGTAGTCGTCTTCAGATCATTCCTCCTCCCATTCATCATGATCCTCGCATCATGTCGCTTGCTGCATGTCCATCGGTGCCTAGGGGAAATGCAATCTGAAGATTGCTTTTCGTCTGAAAAGATTTTGTTTATAATTCACTTTTAATAGAAATCCATGGAAGATTTCAAATCGCCCGAGATGTGTTGACTAAAATTAGTACCAGGAAAATTGGATTTTGCTCTGGGGGACTCGAACTTAGTTAGCGGTCTTAGGCCCGGCGGGGCGGCGGGCCGCCGGGCGCCCAGCCGGCCCGCTCCGAGCCGGAAGTTGAACCGTCGTGAACAGTGAAACGGTCACCGGGTTCAGTGGGGAACGGTTGCTACCGGAGCTTTACTCAAACAATTGATTGAATTTTTCAGATAAAGAGCCCGAAAATGACCTGCAATATTCAGAATAGACTGGAATGCCCAAACAAGCTTTAACTGTAGTAAAATGAATTTACCGTACCCCCCACCCCTGCAATTCAGCAAGCGGGGCGGCTAATAACCGGGTAGTACTGAGCGCCGGTAGCTGGCCTTCCCGGAGTCCTCGGGCCACCTACCCCACATTGATGGAGGGTGATAAGTAGGGTACTACGGTAGTGGCGAAAAGGGCAGGAGCAGGGGTGGTCTACGTCGCCCACCCAAATTAGCCTCACTTGTGGGTGGCCCGAAAGAAATGGAAGCGAGTACCCACCCTTGCAAGTTAAATTTCATGATATTATCACCCCTTATGTAAGGCAATAGGACCCCTCGTTGTAAATGGACCCCTACCGTCATGGGTCTCATTATGTTCCCTTGGATGATCCTCTGTGCCTAATAAGTGATTTAGTCAAGTTCTCTTTGAGCTGCTCTCAATGATATTGACTATGATGCTGCATTGATGGTATGACCCCAGGGTGGCCTGGTTCTATAGTCAATACACCCGTCCTCCTCCCCCAGGATCTAGCTTGCCAGGCTTCCGCGAGCTAGGGCTGTAGTACGCTCCTCCTCCCGCTCCTCCTAGGACTGGGTCCTCTCTGAACGTTAAGGAATCATCTACCCAACGTTGTAGTTGGTAGTTCAGTGGTGATTCCTGGAAGGGGACACATTGCAGTAGTCGAGTCGATCTGAAGGAATGCAGAGGAGTGAACGGGACAGTCTTGCGATGGGTTGCTGAGAACAGATCTTTCTTTGAAGTACTAAACTGAGATGCCTGCTTTGGCTCAAACGCCAATGATCTATCCCAGATCATTTTTTATTGTTGCAGCTGCTGTTGTCTCATGTGCGGCCTTAGCTGTCTACGTGAGTACCCAAGGATCGGATACAAATGTGTCCTCTAGTAAATTGACGTTCTCAATTCCTCCTGCGTTTTCAGATAATTCCAAGCCAAGAAGAAGATTGCTGCAAACAGGTGACAAATTGAACTAATGATATCTGTTTGCTTACGTTGCTCTTGTATCCGTTCTCACAGTTCATATGGGTATGAACTATAGCTCGAAGAATGGAACGTCCAATACCTCATCTTTCCACAATTCGTCGCTTTCAAACTCTTCTTCCTCTAATAGTTCTCAACCTGTGGCAACAGGACAAATTTGCACTTGCCAACCCGTCGGAACACTTTTGGGCTTAAATGCGGTACAGGACTTCGCAAAGCACTCTTTGCTGGAATTCGTGCATCACAATTTTGACGCAATTAGAAGCAAGATGGCTTTGCTAAATGATCATGTAGACATTCGTGAGGCTATTTTGCATTCGGAAATCGTCCTATTTCAAGATGGTGTGTTCCAAAGACGTCTACACTTGGATAGTACAACCAACATACCTTCTTCAGAATTATTGTGCGTCTGCAATGAGACAACTCAGAATTGGGAAATACATATCAAAAATGCTCTCACACCGGTTGAAACAAGCTCAAGTTTCTCTCATTTTTGTCCTGCAAACAGTTTTACTGCCACCTGTTGGATGAACCCTGCTGGAACAGCTGGAACGTTCGCAAGCAGTGTCAGTTCTACGCAGTGGAGAAGATGTGTTCCGCAAACTTGTGGACCGTATTCGGTACTGAATGCAAAGATCTCACTCACAACAAGCACTGGATCAAACCAGATATCTCAAGCCAGAACGGGAGACACTCTGCAAGTACAGTGTCTTCCTGGATACCAATTGTCCGGTGGAGAACAGACTGTAACTTGTCTACAAAATTGTTCTTGGAGTCATTCGCTGACATGCAATCGTAAGAATTCTATCTGATAGCTTTCATAACTAACGATGCCATACTCCTCACGCTTTTGGTTTTGCAGGTAAGGTTTGTCCGATGAGCATTCCTCTAAATACAGCAGGGATTTCTCAAGGACAGTATGGAGACACAAGACAAGTGAATTGTTTGGAGGGGTTCCGAGCCGCTTCTTCTAGCCCCACATTCAATCTTCCTTGCTCAACCTCGATCTCGGCCTTCTGCTCTGAGTCAGGCACATGGCAGTTGCAGGTGACGCTGCAGGCCTCAAGTTTCTTCTCACGCGCTTTGTAAGGATCAATGTGTGCCTGTGACGTGTCCGCCATATGATCTAAACTCCAACTCTTTGAAATGTACCAATGCGACCATCTGCCCTGTTCCAGGTCAATCTCCCTGAGTGATTGTATGCGAAGTGGGAATTGATTCCAATCAGGTGCTGTGGTTGCAAAAGTTTCTACAAATTCTTCGGTAAACTATGGAGCAATCGTTGAAAAGACATGCAACACTGGTACGTCCGGCTTTTTGGTAATCTCACAATTCACCGCGTTCTTGCAGGTTATTCGGTGAATGGTGCAGTATCAGCCTCCATGAAATGTAGCACTACTTGCCAATATACAGAAAATGTTGCACAATGCTCTCGTGAGTTGCGCTTGAAAGATGCACAGATTTGAATGCTGACACTTGCGCTGTAGCGAATCAATGCAGTGCTTTTACTCCAGCTCCGAATTCTAATGTGAATGTCTCTTTCACCTACTTTGACAAGGCAATCCAAGTGAGCTGTGATGTTGGTTACGCTCTCCAGGTTCAGCTGTCGAAAGTGTAGATTACCTGTTTGACTTTTGAATTAGGGCAAATCGACTTCGTGGTCTTCTTGCCAGAGTTCATTTTTGTCGAATTGCAATCCAATCCAGCGCTTCAATGTTCTACAAGGGAAATTGAAACAAGTCATTAATCAATCAGCCTTTACCCTTGAAAATTTGCCCAACCCTGCTGCATACGTTGGCTTGCATATCATGGTAGATGGTGAAAACCAGACGATCATTGCAACAGGGGCATATTGCACTAATGTATCACTCCAGTCAAGCTGTAGTGGTATCAACCCTGACATTGACAACTTTTTCGGATGACACTATTTGCAGATTATGTGATGGTCAGAAGATCCTTCGCAACGGCTTTGTCAAGTGGATTGATGTTCACTATTACTTCGGATTACATTCCAGCGCAGACTTCCTACGCTTGCCAACAAGTCTCCTTTCTGTGCGGGCCATACTCAGTACAAAATGGAACGTATGTACCGGAAGATCTCAACGCAAAGCCAGTGAGCCAAGATGTTGCTAAGAACCAAGGCAGTCAGATCACTCTCGCATGCAACACCGGATACATCGCTGCTGATGTTGGAGACGCTTATGGTTGTCAAAATCCGTCGATCCCTTGCAATGCCTCCTCAAAGCAGTACACCCGGACTTGCTCCGGTTGCCGTTGGTACTCCACCAAGACCTGCAAGAAGATAGCTTGTAACTTCGTGCCGGCTTCGACTGAGTACGTGGCGGGAGCCTCACCGTTGCTCTACGGAGCCGTCGCTACTGTCTCCTGTAAATCAGGCTACAGGGCAGCTCCCATCCCTTCGGGAAGCAGGTGACCTGTGGTCTTCTAGCTCCTCATCTGCTGACTTCTTGGCAGGGGAGTGAGCTCGGCCAACCCATCGAGTTACAATGTCTCGTGCGGCTCACCATCAAACGAGTTTGGGTACCAGAAAACTATACCTGCTGGTTGCAATCCAGTTGCCTGCCCAGCTTTTGTTCAGCCTGCCAATTCTCAGCTCGACCTCCAGTACAGCCAATACACCTCTGCCGATCCTGCCATCAAGATCACTTGTTCCCCAGGATATCGAAGATCAGACTCTCCCAGTTCATTCAATCACGCTTGCAGCAGTGTCTTCTATGCAAAGTGCGAAGATGGCAAATTCGTGTATCTAGACACGAATCAGACGCAGAACCCGAAAGTCCTCGTGAACGTCTCATGTGTGCCGATGAATTGCGGTAGTATGAATGATGTTTGTGGCAGTGAGAGTTGTCCCTCTAGCACTCGAGCAGGAGAAATCGTGCAGAACACCAACACTCCGAGCGGTAGCAATCAAACTGTTGTGTGTGAGATGGGATACAGAGCTGCCACTCCCACTGCGACTCCTCAGAACATTTGTAGCTTTCCGCGCAACTTCTCTCGCTCTTGTCGATACTGCACTTTGGACCCGAACTCTCAGCAGTCATGTCAGCCAATTCAGTGCCAGGCATCAAACTTGGTGGATGCGAACGGATATGTCGCCAAGAATGCCTATGCATACAACGCCAGCATCATGGTTTCTTGCAACAAAGGATATCGGGCGAGCAGCAACATGTACTCTCTTTTGAATGATTCCACATCTTACTCTGCCACCTGTCTGGACAACTGCGGCATCAAATCAAGTTTGGGCACGGCTTGTCAACCTGTCGTATGTTCTGTTCCAAATATTGCAAATGCAAATGCTGGATTTTCTGGCCCTGTTGTGTTTGGTCAGAACGTCAACTGGACATGTCAGCCTGGGTATCGGCTTGCAGGCAGTCAGAGCACTTACCTTTCACCTTGCACGTCCGTGATGAGAGCTCGCTGCTTCGAGGGTTATCTGCTGTACTGGAGTCATGGCGCCTATGTATCCCAACAAGTTCCCGCCTGCGAGCCCATTGTCGGCTGCGGTTTGAAGAACGACACGTGCGGAATGGAAACTTGCCCGAGCCCTCAGAACGTGTCCAAGAACATTGTTGATACTGGTTTGCAGTATGTGGCCAGCGGTTCCTCCGTGACTGTCACGTGCATGAATGGCTACAGGGCGTCATCCATCTACTCTCAATACTCGTCGTGTATCGAACCCAACAACTTCACCCTCAACTGCAGGTACTGCAACTTTCAGACGATGAATACTTCTTGTAAGCCATTTCGGTGTTGGTGGACCCAGCAAAGTGATCTGAATGGAAACGTGATCAACTCCTCGTCCTTCGCAACCTACTCTTCTTCTCTCACCATCCAATGCAATCACGGATACAGAGCTGCTTCCAGCTCCTCCAGCTTTGCCTTGATCTCGGACCCGATGTATTATCAGGTCCGATGTAGCTCAAACTGCAACTTTGAAGCCACCCAGCAGTGCAAGCCGATCAAGTGCAACCTGCCGACGCTCTCGAACCTCCAGGCATCCTCACAGTACCTGGTTCATGGTCAGAACTCAACTCTGTCATGCGCCAATGGATTCCAAAACAATCTCACCAGGAACAGCAACTGCAGCTCTCAGACCTTCCAAGCTCTCTGTCTGAATGGTCAACTCCAGTTTTCGTCGGGAGCGGGAATGTCTTATCAGCCCTCTGTGTCTTGCATCCCGCAATATTGCTCTGCTCTTCATGTTCAGGATCAGAACTTCAATCTTTCCTTCGGTGTTTCGTTTCCGCTGCGAGTCTCAACTTCCACTGGATTCGCACAGATTGCAGCTAAGTGTAAAGCTGGCTATCGTTTCGGGACCTCAGACATTCTTCGTCCTAATGAAGCAACTCTTGTTTGCCACGATTGCACCTGGAATACGACGAGATTGCCTGCCTGCCAACTTGCTCAGTGTCCGCTGATTAACATTTCACTATACCCAAATTTCTACAAAGTGTATGATCAGAAATTCAGTTATATCAATCAATTGCAAATGCCGTATGGTAGCAATGTGACTATTGAATGCAAACCGGGCTACAGCTTTGTCAGTCAAAGTTCTTCAGCGATGGGTGTGGTTCAATGTACCGACTCAGGTTACTACCCACCCATCTCGGGCTTGTGTCAACCGATAGCTTGTCAGGCCTTCTCACCTCCCAAGTTCTCGACGTCGAACTCAACATCTTATGTGTTTGGTCAGAAAGCGTTCTACACATGCCAGTCGAACTATCATGTGCCCCAGCAGACATGCCAGACTGTGTCATCGCACGTGAGTTGCTTTGCAGACGGCTCTTGGCCTCAAGTTGCAGACTGCGCCGTTGTTGATGCGAATCAGAGCTGCTTGTACCAGGACATGTTCGGCAGCCCGTCGTTCACGGGGTCGACCTCCTTCACTGGGAGCAAGCAGATCACTTGCCTCAGTGGGTACGCGGCTGTGGAGACATCGAAACAGTTCGCAGACTGCAGCAGTTCTAACCAGCGATCGTACACCATCAGTTGCTCGGACTGTCAGGCTGTTCATGCCATGCACTGCGCACCCTTGGCCTGCGCACTAAATTTTAGTGCCATCCCCGGCTTGCCTTCTTCATCAGGCGTTCAGTATGTTCCGATCGGCCAAACCTCTTTCTTCTCCTGTCAGCCTGGGTACCGAGCAGACAGTCAAGGGAACAGTCCCTTGTGCAGCAAGAGTCAGTGCTCGCCTGCCGCGTCACGGTCTGTCGCGGTTTCCTGCTCAGCAACCAACTGCCCCTTGTCATCTTCTTCGTTGTGCCACAAAGTCTCTTGCGGACTCTTCCAGAAGCTGAACAACACTGTCAAGGACTCTTCCATCCCCAACATGATGTACTCTTACGGTGACGTGGTCGAGTTCACCTGCGCGCCCGGCTTCAGGGTGGAATCGTCTCAGAGCTGCAGCAACAGCGGCGTTGCTATGTGTCAAGACGACGGTAAGTTCTCAGCTCCAAGATGCGTTCCCGTCACATGTCAAGTTCCTCTTTCTTACGGCACATCCTACCTACCCAGCTCTGGTGTTGTCCCGTATCAATCTACCGTCAGCATCCGATGTGAATCAGGTTACAACATATTGGATTCGTCCAAGTCGATCGCTCCCACATGCAACGCGTCCTGTCAGCTGGAGAACGCAGCGACTTGTGTTGTCGCTGCCTGTGACGCAACCAAGGGGCTGAACATCTCGTTTGCTAACGCCAACTTCAACCCTGTGCTCGTCCCGCTGCTCGACACCATCAAGATAACCTGCTTGCCTGGTTTCATTGTTTCTGGGCCCTTGTACAACAAGTGCGTCAACGTCTTTTACCCTCAATGCCTGCCCTCTCGGCAGTTTTCACTCGTCGACCAACTCAAGTGTGTTCCTGCCACCTGCCCTCCCCCCAGCTCCCTCACGGGCATGACGTTGGTCAACGGATCGTTGGATCTCACCCGGGTGCAGCTGGCCAACGGAACCATCGTTGCACATGACGGAACCAAGAGCGTGGAGTACGGGAGCAGCGTATTGGTCAATTGTGATCAAGGCTACGTTGCCCATTGCCCTTGCCAGCAGACAAACCAAGCTAATCCTGCTGGGAAGGCAGCTCGGCGCAAGCTGCAAGCTCTTCAACAACCGGCGTCGAGCAGCTCGTGCACGTGCAGCTCAAGCTACAGCTCCTTCTACCCCATCACGTGCGGCAGCTCGTCTAGCCCATGCAGCTGGGGGGCTCGTCAGTACGTGTGCGTCCGCAAGAATGCCTGTGGCCCCCTCCGTGAGTGGCCGGACTCCACGGTGACGTCAACACCCAACAGTGACCGAGCATACGGCACGTGCGGAGCTGGGAAACTTCCGTTCAACTCAGCAGCCTCGTCTTGCAGCAAAGGGTGGAGCTTGACCTGCCAGTGGAACAGCTCGAGATGGGTGTGGATGTACACGGGAACGAACATCCCTTACGACTCTCAGGGCCCCTGCACCAGGAACGTCACGTGCAGCCTTGAGGCGCCCGGGACGACTTTCAGCAATGACGCCATGCAGGCCGTCAGCAGGGTGACGTACGGGGAGTACGTCAAATCCTCCTGCTCCTTCGGTTACGTCAGCCAGAACGGAGCGACTAGAACCTCCCGCTGCATGGATGACTGCAGCCTGTCCCCGGCCCCGGTCAAGTGCTCGGGAGTCACGTGCGGTGACTTGCTGGATGTCTTCGACTTCACCACAGCAAACTCGCAAGGCCTCAACTTCATGTCCACCTTCACCCTTGGGGAAACAGTCCAGGTCACCTGCCCAGCTGGGTACGTGCTGGACACCACGAACTCCAGCAGTGCGGGAATTCAGCTGCCGTCAGGGGCCCTCCAGATTATCTCTTCGCAAGCATTCCCACCACCCAATCGGAGCCGGTCGACCTCCTACCTCTTCGCCTCCACCAACATGTCCATCACTTTCCCCCCCGGGGCCTGGCCCGCTGGAGAGACTCGTCCTGTGAAGATCAACCTGGTCAACTTCTCATCGAACCTTGTAGTCACTGGCAGCGCCTTGAAGGACCAGAAGAAGATAGCAGGGCAGGGAATCTACCTCGAGCCTTCTGGAATCATCTTCTCAACGCCCGTCTCTATCTCCATCCCGTTTGACAACCGCGTCGACTACGGCAACTCTCAGCTCAACGTGTTCGTCTTCAACACCTCCACCAACTCCTGGGTCCCCAAGGCGTACTCAGCCAGCAGCTCCACCCCCGTCAACTTCGTGCAAGGAGTCGTCCAAGCGCAGACGTCGTCCTTCTCCTTGTACACGGTCCTTGCGACGCCTCTGCGAAGTGTCACGGTCTCCAACGTCAGCAACCAAACCATCGCCATCACGACCACCACTCCCGCCCCTCCTGCTCCACCTGGTGCAGTTGAGCAGAGCAGCTCGAACAACCCAACCGTGACGGTCGTCATCGTCATCTGCGTGCTCGTCGTCGTCGGCATGTTTGGCATCTACTACTACGACTACAAGGAGCGCCAGCAAAAGAAGAAGCTGGAGGAAGAGAACGAGGCGAAGAAGAGGGAGGAGGAAAGAAAGGCCAAGGAGAGAGATCGGCCGAGGCCCTCTCAAACCAGGGCCCTTCCAGCAGGAGGGCCCAAGACGACGATGACGACCTCGGCATCGGGCGGGGGAGTGTACCAGGCAGAGAGTCAGACTGTGAGGCAGCAGTCGCAAGCTCCTCCCTCTGAGGTCCAGCCGACGAAGCAAGAGGAGTCGAAGAAGGTTCAAGAGTCGAAGGAGGACGTGGAGATCTCCGTGCAAGCAGAGGCGTTGCCCAGCGAACCAGCAGCTATGCAACAGCCAGAGAAGGCGGAGGAGAAACCCAAGGAGGAGGAGAAGGAGGAGAAGCCTGCCATGTCTTACAGCAGCAGAGGACCAGAGGCTGCGGCCAAGACTCAGCTGGAGGAGCCCGACGGAACCAACGAGAAAGAGCTCGAGGCCGCTCCTGACGAGCCCAAGACGCCGGACTCAGAGGCAGGCGAAGCTGCCCAGCAGGTGTCTGATCCTCTGTGCGATTCCTTGACGAGGAATGAGTTGATGCTGCAGGAGGCCTCCCCCCTCGACACGTTCTCGATCGCTGACATCGCAAGGTAGAGACTCTTGGTTGGGGTGGCTGCTGACTTGCTCCCTTCAGCTTACTCCCCCCTGGATGGCTATGCTGTGTGGGGTGCAAGCACCCCGTTAACGCCTCCTGGCCAAAGTGCCCCAAGGTACGCCCATGTCTACCCTCCCATCTTCTCCTCCTCCTCCTCCTCTTCCTTCTCTTTCTTCTGGTTGTAGCTGATGTGATTTGTGCAGTGCGGTACGCCACCAGATCCCACCTATGGTGGAAGTGTGTACACCATATGATCAATCTGATCACTATTAGTCTTTACATTATTTTCTTGCTGTCAATGCATTTTCTTTTGCACAGGTGAAGCACAAGTTCTTTCTGCATACAAGCACCTTGCTTGATCTCTTGCCTCTCTCAGTGCGGAGAAATTGACATGTCGAAGCACTCGTCCCTCATCTTTCTCTTTCCCGTCAGCACTCCTCCATGGCTCCTGCGCACGTTGGTCAGGCTTGGAGAGGAGGATATCGCGTACATGTTGATCTCCTCGGGAGTCTGGAAGTGAATGATGCGCTGAGCAGCAGGAGTGATGTCCTGCTCACATTCAGCGATGCCACAGGCTCAGTCAGCTCACCATGTCGTCGTTTCCCATGGACCCTCTGTCTCGCTTCCTATCCTTGGGCGTCATGCTGTTGGTCAACATCATGGAGCTCTTGGAGCTGGAGTCTGCGAGTGACGTAGCCTCGTTGGACAGATCGGAGTCGAGCGTCGGCGTCCCAGTCATTCCAACCCGATCGTCCTCCTCCTTCTGCAGGCTGTCGAAGCAGATGGCTCTGCTCCATGCCGACTCCTTGCAGGCCCTGCTGGCGCCTGGCTTATCAAACATTCCCATGCGGCACTTGGGGGGACAAGCAAACAAGGAGGTTTCACTCCCTAACGACAAGTCCAGCACGTTGCGGTGCACGGAAAATCTCTCACCATCCATGGCACGATAACCCATTCTGTTGCTGTTGCTGTTGCTGTTGCTGTTGCTGCTATCTCGTCTCGAGTTGCGCAAGAGCGTGATAGATTCGGCCATCTTGTGCTTGGAAGAGGGGAGTGGGACATGTTCAAACCAATCACTCAGCAAGCAATCCTGCAAGCAGTGTCACGTGCGCGTCATTCATCTCTGCCTCTCTCACCCTCGCGGAAAGTCTCCGCATGGGGTCAAAGTGGAGGAGCCTCAAAAGAAGCGCCTTGTCCTCTACTGCAGCATGCGGGAGAATCGCGTTAAAAGCGCCATGCTCGTCGAAGGTTTTGAAGCTTGAAACTGCTTGCAACAAAGCTTGATGATAAGAGTCGTTGGGGTCCTGTAAACTCATTACTTGCGTGCTCAATGCCTCTGATCCTCATACCGAAGATCGCAGCAGCCTCTCATAAACATCCATATGAGGATAGCCTAACTTCTCGAAGATGCAGTTTACAACGCCCAGGTCGGTGTCTGCTGGGAAGAGCGGCTGACGCTACACGAGATGCTCAGACTAGCTTCGTCTCCACCTTCATCAGCTTACCAGCATCATCTCCGCTAAAATGCATCCAACGCTCCACATGTCTGCCGACTTCCCGTATCGTGTGCACCCAAAGAAGAGCTCGGGCGGGCGATACCTCCTCGTGAAGGCGCTGGGGGAGAACAGCTGCCGTACAGCAGTCAGCTCGTGTCTCCTTGAGCATGGAGAGCTCCATCTCACTCTGTCAGGGCTGCCAAAGGTTCTTGCAAGTCCCAAGTCAGCGAGCTTGAGGGTGCCGAGTTCATCTATCAGCAGGTTGCTCGGTTTCAGGTCTCGATGGATCAGCCCCAAGGAATGCAGAGCCTCCACACCAGCAAGCAGCATCTGCACTCGAGTGAGCGACAAGATCATGCGCGCTACGACTGAGCTGCGCCACCTTCATGTACGCCTTGACGTCGGACATGCAGAGCTCCATGTAGGGAGTCCTGATCCCCCCAAAGTCAGCTACGAAACAAGGCACGCGGTCTTCGTCGGAGTGAGCACGCTCTACCTGTTTGGTTCCTTGGCTTGTATGACATGCTCGAGCTCCAAATCATGAAAGTCAAGGATGAGGAAGACACTGCCGGCTCTCTTGCCAATCACTTCGTGCAAAGTAACAACATTCTCGTGGCGAATCTCCTGCAGCGCCATGATCTCGTCGATGGCAGAGCTTCTAACTCCATCCGTGCTCTTGTCCATCTTGATCTTCTTCATGGCAAAAACTTTCCCTGTGTCCTTGTGCACGACCCTGTACACGACTCCGAACGCTCCTTCTCCCGCCACTCCCTTCCTTTCATACTTGCTCTCCATCACGGGAGTGGGGGTTGAAAAGGGTGTAGGTCTACTTCTGGGACACCTTGCAAGGAAGAAAACTGGGAGAAAGCAGCATGTGGAAGAAGGAATCGCAGGTGATCAACGATGGGTTGGGTTTCACAGCACAGCTGGTGGTGAGGGGGAAAGGGGCGGGTTGGAAATATGGCAAGAGTACTTGATGGAGGTCACAGCAGTAGACAGGCTCAGGAGGAGAAAGTGAAAGTAAGGAGGAGGATGGAGATGAATCAGACGAGAGGAGTCTGGAGGGCAGAGGAAGGTGATACGGAGGAGGAGGAGGAGGGGGAGGAGGAGGAGGAGGAAGCGAGAACTGTTATCAATGGAGGAGGCGCCATGGCGGGAAAAAACAGTCGAAACGAACGGCAATTCAACAGTTCCCCTCGATGACGATATGAGGGGTACTTTTATATATGTTCCCGAGGGGTACTAACAGCTTATAGTAAACGTACCCGGTTATTGTCCTAAGGATTTGATCTTGAATGAGCGGTGGGTGAACATTTTGAATTTCGGTGGGGTAAGGTCATGGACAACGGGTACAAAAAAAGGGATTAGTACGGGTGGTGATATGATTTGATATGGAGATGAGGTGGTAGGGGTACTGGATCCTGTGCGAAGCTTCCGAGCATCCTGTCAACAAAGAGCAGCAGCATCGGGAAGGAGCAGGAGCAGGAGCAGGGGCAGGAGCAGGAGCAGGGGCAGGGGCAGGGGCAGGGGCAGGGGCAGGGGCAGGGGCAGGGGAGGTTCATGAGAAGAAGGATCAGAAGGATCAGAAGGAGCAGGAGCAGGGGCAGAGGCAGGGAAAAGAGCAAGAGCGGTAGTGAGAGCAGGGGCAGAGGCGGAAGTGGGAGCAGGAGCAAGAGAAGTGGCGTGGCAGCGGCAGAAGCAATAGAAAGCACGAGCAGAGAGCGCGATCTCCGCGCTTTTTGGGCGAGGGTGTGGTGGATCGAGCTGATACGTATGTTGGCTGGCAGGATGTACGAGAAACTTCACATTGTCGGGGAAGGAAGTTTTGGGGTCGTGTACCGGGTGCGGCATGTAGCGACACGGAGAGTGTTTGCTATGAAGAAGGTGTACATGGAGAGGAGCAAGGAGGGCCTGAGGACGACAGCCTTGGACGAGATCTGTGCGCTGAAAGAGATCCGCCACCCCAACATCGTGGAGCTGCATGACGTCGTGCTGAAGGCAAGCGGTTGCGCCTGTCTGATCCTACGGCAGAGAGAGCGACATGTGGAGCGTGGGGTGTGTGGTGGCTGAAATGCTGCTGGTAAGAGGAGGAGGGAGAGAGTGGCAGTGAGGAGGAGGAGGAGGAGGAGGAGGAGCACGAGCACGAGCACGAGCACGAGGAGAAGGAGGGAGAGGAGGAAGATGTGGAGAAGCACGGAGGAGGTAGAACAGGGGCAAGGGCAGGAGGAGATTCAGGAGCATATGGTGCTGTCTGAAATCTAACGCAGAGGAGGACGATCTTTTCCGGTCAGTCCGATCTCGGTGTTCTGGGCTCCATTATCGACAAGCTCGGCTCCCCTCCTGCCGAAGTCTATGAAGAGATTTTTGCCGACCAGGTTTGAGCCTCCTCCTCATCTGCTCCCTCTCCACCTCTTCCTCTTTGTCACTCCTCTCCTCTCCCTCCTCCTTCAACAGCTGTCATGTTCTACCCTCCTCCTTCCTTTCATTCTCACGATTCTCCTCCCTTCCTTGTCTGCTTCATCGCCCTCCCCATCGTCGCCTTCCACTTGTATTATTATTCATTTTCTCCTCCTCCTCCTCCCTCACCTCTTCTCTTTCCTCGTTGACTCTGCTCGCAGGGAGGGCTGTTGATTCAGTTCGCCGAGGTGGCTCCCTGCTCATGGCAGGAGATTCTTCCAGCTGCCCCTCCACCTGCAGTCGATCTGGTTGCGAGTCTCCTCCAGCTGGACCCGCGTAGGAGGGCAACGGCAGAGGTTGAGGAGGGGAAGGGAGAGGAGAAGCAAGGGGAAGGGGAAAGAGGAGGAGGAGGAGGAGGAGGAGCAGGAGGAGCAGGAGGAGCAGGAGGAGCAGGAGGAGGAGCAGGAGGAGCAGGAGGAGGAGG